GCGTCGTGATCGAGCGATACAAGGCGTCGAACAGACAGGCGAAGCAGAGGATCGAGCGACAAGAGCAGATCGCACCGAGCATCGAATAGTTCAACGAGATCGAACAGAGCCAAGGATTCAGATCCTATGTGGCTCTGATACCATAAAAAAATAATGTAAAAATATTAGAGGGCTTATTCTTATTGATACAAAGCAGTTCAACAAGATCGAACAGAGCCAAGGATTCAGATCCTACGTGGCTCTGATACCATAAAAAAATAATGTAGAAATATTATAGGGCTTATTCTTATTGATACAAAGAGGGGTATAAATACCCATTACAGGACTTATTGGTAAGGAAAACAATAAAAACAGAATACAGTAGATAAAAAAAGAAATAATAACAAATATAATAGATAGCTAATCTCTCTAATTAATAAGACAAAATAAATAGAGATTCCTAAGATCCCTTATATAATTTATAACCCTCTAAATATAGAGTTATAATAAATATGAAATATAATCATCATTATTTGTGATACCTTTCAACAATCATATATCCAAAAGGGGACAAAAATGATTATGCGAAGCAGTTAGCTTTTAAAACCTATTTAATGCTCCACCAAAAAATGCTTTGTTTGCAATAAAACCACTCATTGAACAAAATAATTACTTCAAAACCACCGATTAAATGGGATTCAAAACAAATAGAAGATGGAGCATCTTAAATCTTTGAATAATATAAGATAAAATATCAGAGAGAAAATAGTTTACTATTGTAACATAAAAAAAAAATGGAAGTAGTTCAGCCAGAAGCACCCCATTAAAAGTAACTTTCAGTGAAACAAAGTGTCGCATGAAAGATCCAGCTAAAATCGATCAAACAGCCAAAGCATAATTGAATAAGATACAATCTCACAATATTGCACTCTTAAACATGACAACAGTAAGTATATGATACAAATGAAAATCATAAAATAATGGCATGACAAGCAAGAACCACGAATGGGTATAAAAAAAAATGGTGGCAAACCTCATTAGAAGGTCTCAAGCAGCTTCTCCTTCCTGGAACTTCTGAAGCATGTCACAGTAAGGCTTCTGGTGCTGGAAACCCCAGTGCTGCCGCTGTAACTCAAGCCGACAGTTCTGTGCAAGCAGACCAACATATTCCCTCTCAATGCGGGTCTCCAATGCAATCCTTGCAGAACTTTGATAAGGGTAATCTTGCTCAAACTTTGCAGATTTCACATAAAAGGGTGCACCCTTTGATGTCAAAACCTTGTGCTCGTATGGGTAGGACCGGCTGAATGTATAAAGAGGATCGGAGGAGGGAAGGAAGTTGAACAGTAGCAGTACAATGATAGGCAGGATCTGTATGAGAGCACGCAAGTCAAAACTACGAGAACCTTGCACCCCATGGCCACCATTCCCACCCATGCCACCAGTTCTAAACTGAAACGCACCAAAAGAGGTGGTTGCCGGATGCCTCCCACCAAAGAAGAAGTTCCTAAAAATCTCATCCGCATCAACATCAGCATCATAGAAACCATTAAAGCCATATTCATGAGAATGATGGCGCCTCCTCACAGGAGCAGGATCATCCGTCCCAGAAACATCATAACTTTTCCTGCTTTCTTCATTGCTAAGGCACTGGAAAGCTTTAGAAACAACCTTAAACGCTTCCTCCGCACCAGGCGCTTTATTCTTATCCGGGTGAACCTTCAAGGAAAGCTTCCGATATGCCTTGCGCACATCTTCCACGGTGCAGCTCCGCTCTAGTCCCAAAATCTCGTAGTAATCCTTCTTCTTTTTAATCTGCCTGACAATCGCGATCTGTTCCTCCGTATAAGCTGCCGATGACCCATTATCGGAAGGCATCGACGACCTAACCCTAGACCTTAAATTGGCAGAAGATGAAACAGCCGGTGCGGCTTTTTCCAGTCTTTTTTGGGATTCGTTACTAGTAGCATCGCCGGCATCATCAGCAAAGCCTGCCGCAGCTCCGCTAGCAGAGGAGACGAGATCGTCGATGGCGAGGGTAGGATCTAAACGACGCGCTTTAATAAGGAATTTGATTGCGCGAGACTTATCACCCAAATCCAGAGCTTCCTTCCCGATCCGCAAGCATTTCCGCGCTTCATCTTTGTTCCCATCCATCACTAGATAAAAGAAAAAACTTAAGATTTTTATTTTGCAAGCCGACAATCACTAGTGACGAATTCATCTGTCATTGAACAAGAAAATACAACAAGTAATCGCAAATCGCAAAATAAAGAAGAAACTTATTTCAAACGATCGCATAAAATAAAGAAGAAACTTAAAGAACTGATTCAAACGATCAATCTATACGAAGAATTAGAGCAAAAGCAAAAACTGGAAAAGTGATTTTAAGAGGAATTGAATCTCACCAAAAAAAAAAAAACGAAGCGCAGTATCTCAGCCTCTTCCTTCCGCCGTGAAGGTTCTGGATTAGGTAGATCCAGCTATCAAATTAGAACTGATCTCCCCAAATAACCAGAGGAAGAAGGAGGACCAGAGTCTCCGAGGGTTCGAAAATGAAGAAGACGGGGTGGCTCCGGAAAGATGAAGGAATTTTTCAGACAGGAAGCACGTCACCAGAAGTACAATCGACCGTCAAATCTTTGTTGCGGTAAATTTTAGGGCAATCCTGACCGTTAGTTCTCCAGCAATCCGAAGGCTAGAAATTATTCTATATGTTTATTAAAAAAAAATAAAAATGGAAAAATTTACGTACCTGCAACATAAGTTCTTACCTAATTATATATGTAAGCTACAAAATTAGATATTTTTATATTTATGATGTTTTGTGTTATAAATTTATGAATCAAAATGTATATATCAATTTTATAAATTTAATAATTATGACATTTTATGTAATATTAAAATTTATAAGTATTATGTATGTAAATATGAAAATTTCGGAGTTAGATATGTAAATAGGGGTGTAAACGAGCGGAACACAAACGAGCCTCGTTAAAACATAAAATTGTTTGTATTGGACTTGTTTATATTTTAAACATAAAAAATTTGTTCATGTTCAGCTCGTTTGCTTAACAAACCAAACATGAGTTGTTCGTGAACCAAAAACCATTTTGACAACTTTAGTCATGCATGCAGCCGTTAGAGGTGTACAAGAGCCGAGCTTGAGTGAGTCAATACTCGGCTTGTTAAAAAATATTATTGTTCGTGCTCGGCTCGTTTATATATCGAGCTCAAAGAATTTGTTTGTGTTTGGCTCGCTTGCTTATCGAGTCGGACACGAGATATTCACGAATAATGAGCTATTTTGACAATCTGAATTACACGGCCGTGGGATGGTAAGAGTAGAGCGAGATTTAAATATTATTATTTATATTAAAATATTCATTTAAATAGAATTTAATATATTTTTATTTGAACAAAACTTTGTTCTTATTTTGCTCATTTATATGTCGAGTGCAAAAAAAAATGTTCTTGTTCGGCTCATTTGCTTAGCAAATGAATCAAACACGAGCTACTAAATGAGTCGAATACGGGATGTTTGCGAACAATGAGTCATTTTGATAGCCCAATATGTAAATACATAAGCTCACTCACTAGCAGTAATGAAGTTATTGCCAATTTTGGATGCTAGCATTGATGTTTGCGTAACTATCTTTTGCCTAGTTCCTTGCTTGCATAATAAGCAAGCAAGTATTTCCGCTCTCTCTCTCCTTGTCAATTTGTCTCTCTCTATCTCTTTCTTCCAACTAACCCTATCTTTTGCCTAGTTCCTTGCTTGCATAACAAGCAAGCAAGTATTTCCGCTCTCTCTCCTTGTCTATTTGTCTCTCTCTATCTCTTTCTTCCAACTAACCCTATCTAATGTTGGATTTCAAATTTAGATGGGAATGGAATTCAATGAATTCCTAGCATTAGGAAGCCATTGCTCTGTCTTCAATTCTCAACAGAAATTCACAAAAGGCGAGACTCTATGATGATGTGCTATCAATGAAGGCACATCCATGAGAGCTATTGATGCAAGCCCTGCTAGAGGAGGCTAACTTGTTATGTACTCAATCAATGTTTAGACTAGAGATCGGAAATTCAAAGAAGGCGAGACTCTTTGATGATGTGCTATCGATGAAGACATCCATGAGAGCTATTGATGCAAGCCTTGCTAGAGGAGGTTTACTTGTTATGTACTCAATCAATGTTTAGACTAGAGAAAGGATGATATGGATGTAATGGATTGCCCTTGGTTTTTCATGTAGTCACTGTTTGAAATTATAGTTTATATGATAAGTATGTGGGGATTTTTCATCAAGAGGTAAAGCACTTCTCAGGATTGGAATTTGAGGATTTTGGTTCAATTCGAGTCTAATCAAGCCCAGATCAAGTCAAAACACATTTGAATGCTTCAGATCGTTCATTTATTGGTCCAATGAACTCCAAATTTAACATATTTATAATCGAATCACGAGACTCGACCAGAAGAATCCAACGAGCTTAACTTTACTTAATTATGAGGTCAATAAAGCACTCAAATCATTGAGAAACCATATATGACCAAGAGTGACCGGTATAGGCTATCTGACCAGGTGGTTGAAAGTTATTCTTCAAATGACCAAAATGTCATTCACTCAGAGGCTATAAGTAGGCCCTCTCTCCACTTGTGAAGAGGAGCTGAATTGAACACCTGACGATTACTCCCACCCATTGTAATCGTCAACCACCTTCGACTATCACTCATCGGCCGTCGCCAACCACCATCAGCCGCCCCTACTCAACTCTGTCAACAAAATCTACTAGCTAATGATGTATCGTGAATACAATGTAACAATGTATCCTAAATATAGTGTAATGAAGTATCTCAAATACAGTGCAACGAATAACGTCGTATTGAAGTTCTGATGATAACTTCTGACCTTCATAGCCCACAACCATCGTTGACCACGACCTACCATCTATCATCAACAACCACTGGTCTCCCTTGCTCTCCCTTGTCGGCAAACTCTGATAGTTAATGATGTATGCATCGTAATAACATGTCTCGAATACAGTGTAATAAAGTATACTAAATACAATGAAAGGAATAACACTAAATGAAAGTTTCGGTGATAACCTCTAACCACCATCAACTACTACTGCCCACAAGCCACAGTCGACCATTATCGATTGCCCCTGTCGTCGCCATCCATGAACTTCACTCATTAATGTTGTATCACAAATACAATATAACAATGTATCTCAAATATGACACCATGAAATAATGTCACATTGAAGTCCCGGAGATAATTTTTGGCCCATGTAGTCATCGATCACTGTCAACCATCTCCCACAGGTCGCCATCAACCGCCGCCCACCATCCGCTGCCGACCACCGCCAGGTGTCCTTGCTTGCCAGTATTGGTGAACTCTGCTACTAACGATGTATTTTAAATACAATGTAATATGGTATAATGAATAATATCATATTAAAGATCTGACAATAACTCGTTGTGATAACGCTACTAAGGATTGTCATATTCAGAATACAACAAATTTCTTTTAAAGACATGATGTTTTTAATATGTCATATATTGTTAAGTATTGTCTCTGACAAAAAATAACAGACGTGAGAGAAGGGTAACGACCACCAACAAGTGTAACACCAACTACAACCTATGTGATCAATTACTACAATTGCTTTCAATTATGCTTTATGTGGTCAACTATTACTACTACAGCTTCAACCTACAACATATGTAGCTAATCGCCACTACAGCTACCAATCACGACATATTTAGCTAAGTATTATTGCAGCTACTAAATACAGTATATGTGGCTAATTACTATTATAGTTTCTCATTATGACTTATATGACCACCTACAATCTATATTGATAACTGCTACTATAGCTACCATATATTGTCTATGTGACCAACAATGACCTATGTGGCTAATTACTACTGTTTCTTCGAACTATGGCCTTTGGAGTCAACTGTTGCTCTTGTAGCTACCAATTTTGACTTATGTGGTCAGTTACTACTACAGCTCCCCACTACAACTTATATGGTCGACTAGCGCTATAGCAGCCACTAATTATAGTCTTTATGATAAAATAGACTTTGTAGCAATCAACTACGATCTTTGTTACCCACTGTCACTATTATAGATAAGAATTATATTTTCTGTTACTCATTACGGCTATTAAAGCTAGATGATTACTGTAAATTTATGATCATCGACACTATAATGTTGTCTTCTTTAATTTAGTAGAACTCTAGACATACGTACATATAATTATATAGTGTATTACTTTGAATGGGATAGGCTGCTTGGTTATTACCCTTTCCGAGATTTTTTCAAGTAAGAAATTGCGTTCTCTTCTCATGCTACTTTTCAATTACATATGTGTGTATTGCATCTTCATGTAATTTTAAGATGTTAACTTATCACTCTACTTTCATGAATCTTCCAACGTGTGATATTTGTGATTTAACATTTTTGGGAAGAGAAGTTTTTAAATCTCTTAAATTTTGTGAATGGCGGGATTTAACAAAATTTTGATTTAATTTCAACAATTGTGTTGTCAAGTGCCATACTCTTAAGATTAAAATCATGTTATTTTAATAATTAATGATGGGAAAATAAATCGAGTCTAGTCGGGCACGAGCTTGCTCATGCTGAAGGTCAAGCTCATTTGTCTGAACTCTATTTGAGCTTGGCTCAAGCTTAATTTGAGTTTTTAGAACAATGTTTCAGCTCAACTTTGTTTATGAAAATGATGCATTACAGAAAAACAACTAAAATCGGTGGGAAAACCGATTGTTGCATGTCAGTTAAAAATTTTAAAAAAAATATTGATAACTTAGCGATGGTTATTAAAGTGAACTTTGATGGCTTTCCGACTTAATAAAACGTAGCTTTGAAGTTACGAACTTTTCTGGTTGTTTTTGAAAAGCCACTGATATATCATACCTTCGGTTCATGCCAACTCATAAACTAAAGTGATAAGGTCGTTGAAAATTCAAGAAGTTGGTTTTATTTTGAGAAGAAAATTAATTTTAAGTGAGAAAATAAAAGCTTGGTGTTTAAGTCATTTCCTAAATAATAAAACTTAAAGTCCTTAATGGAATTCTCAAATATTATAGTTAAGAAAAAGTTATGTGATTTTGGGTTGTTAGACAGATAATTAATCGACTTAAAGTTCTTTTAAGTAATTAACATTTTTTAATCACACTGGATTATGTGTTTTGAAATCTGCTTAGGCTTAGGAAGAAGTGAATTATAGAAAGACTAGATTATTAGAGATTAATAAAAATCCAAACCTAAGATGATATTTGCACATTTTTTATTATGAATTATGTAGTCCTATTAGAGAATCAAAAAGTTCTATATGGGAGATACAAAATTCATTTCAACAAATCCAAGTTTAGATATGAGAGCACTTGAAGGCAAGTTATAGATAAATTAGGGAGAATTTATATGAAGAAAAAATGTGATATTTTTCATTATTAATTCTATGTTTTATTTAATATTTATGATAATTTTATGCTTGTTAAAGGTGTATTTATTGTGTATTACATGTTAAAAGTGATTAGGCAACTTAAAAAACTAAAGAGATGAATAAGACTTTAGAATGCCAAAGTCACAAGATGTAATCATTAAAGCATCAAAGGGTGCTAATTAGCATCAAAGGGGTGTCAGGCACTAGTGCCCCCACTCTAGTCTGATGTACCCTCGCACCAAAGGTTAAAGAGGGTGGCACCCTCACACCAGTCTGCGACATTCGATGCCCTAACATGTAGTAAACCAAGTTTGGAAGGCTTTGATGTTGATTTTCAGTCTTAACTATACAAGAACTTGAAAGGAACCTTATAAATCACTTTTGGTTGTGGAGGTTTTTTCCTAGTTAGAAAAGTCCTCTCTTTTTTGTGACATGAGATTTTCTCCTTAGGTTTTGTTAGGCGAAAGCCACTAGGAATTTTTTGTGAGAGTTTGGAGAGGGAGAGACTTCAGTGCATGTACATGGGAGATTCTTAGAGTTTATTGTAAGAAGAGGATCTCAATTTACTTTAAGAAGAGATCAACTCTAATTTAAGTTTCTGTATATATTTTACATTATTTGTATTTTTGAATTCAATGAAGTTTTTCATGTTTTCTTCTATCATATAAAGTAGCTAAACTATTTTCATGCTCATGTGATTATGGCCTGTGCTTGAATCAATATTTTCTCCATGACTTTTCTAAAATGTTTTATGTACTTTATGTGGTTCATATTGATGTGTTAATCCTTTGATCACAATTTATTTATAATTTAGTCAATTATAAAAGCAGCTTGTGATCCAGGACTTCTAACTGCAAATTATAAAAACAAGTAGGTTAACATGCACATATTCACCCAGTGAAGTTGACATATTATCAGTAAAAGATTGTAACCTTGATAGGGGACTAGAGGATTTCTGAGAAACTTTAAATGGTAAAGCCACCTTAATTATAATACAAGTTTTCAATGCTTCTTATGGTCTGTACATAGACTAGAGAGGATCGTTTTGTAGTTGTCAATACATAGTGATACTTGGACAATGTTTTCAATGCTTCTTATGGTCTATACATAGTGATAGTTATCAGTAAAAGATTACAAGTTTTCAATGCTTCTTATGGTCTATACATAGACTAGAGAGGATCGTTTTGTAGTTGTCAACAATAACGTGGATATGTCATATAAAAACTTTGAGGATCAACATATTCCGAGTCACAATAGTATGATATTTATCTTCTCTCAAAAATTCAAAAACAATTTTGTTTTAATTCCACAATTTTAGAAACTTTAAACTTTTTACAAATCTAAAATACTTAATATTAGAATTAGGGTTTAGTAAACTAGAACTTCACTTGTTAGGAAATCTGTGTAGCTTTGTTGTGAGATCGACACAGACTCAAATTTTTTACATTACTTAAGCACATGTATACTTGTGTGATTTCAAGCTGCTTCATGGCAGTTTCTAGGATCATTAATATAAAATAACATAATTTAATTTTTAAAAATTAAAATAGATAATTTTTTATAGGTATGTATGCACACCACAATTAGTGGAGTTTAGTGATACTTGGACAATGAATGTTCTAAATATATGACTATAAAAAATTAAATTTGTACCATTAAAAATCATGGACAATGAAAAATAAACGTTGGTGATAATACAATTAATAATATAAGTATTGGCAATGTTATGAAGAGGAATTCTCTTACAATTAAAAATTCCTCTAGTAGATGATTTACAATATATTTTGATAGAGATTTGAAATTGAATTTTTAACTTCATAGTGTTTGCTTAAATTAAGAACAAAAAAACATTTTACAATTTATTATCATTACTATTATTATTATTATTATTATTATTATTATTATTAAAATCCATGACCTCGCAAGCAACCTCCAAAATATAACATGCAGATGGCACATTTTAGACACTTCGCACGAGAAAAACAAGAGCTCCCAAAATGACTATTTTCCATCACCAATGGTACAAAATACAAACTTGCAGCACACAATCATGGCAACAATCAAATAAAATATTAAATAAAAAAAAAAGAAAACTAAATTTCTACATGACTTCAGCAATCTACGATCAATATCAGCATTTAAAAACATTCTACAGCTAAAGTTTACACAACAATGCAAGCATACTTGCGGAAGAAATAGGCAACAAGAAGCAAAAAAAAAAAAAAAGAAGAAAAAGAAATAATGGTGGTTAAAGAGACCACACCTGATATACAGCTCGCCAAAATTAGTGTGGTTATAGAAACAATCAATAATAACTAGCAGCATAGTATGGCTGCGCAGCTGCTGCTGGTTGTTGTGGAAATCCTGCCACAGATGCTGTTGCTGCTGTAGCTGGGACGGCATAGGTTTGCTGCGGATATGCCTGGACAAGTTCCTCGCACATTAGAAAGAGAGAACAGCACAAAAGCAGCACCATGATTCTAGATATGTTCTTCATAAAACATACGAAAATAACTTGTCAGAAAAGAAAATCTTGTAAAAATTAAGAATATGTAAAAAAGTGGGATTAAGGAATGTATTGGAAGAAAATGTTCACCTCCACTCCTCCCAATACATGACACCCAAATATCCACACTTCAAATCGCAACTCCTACACTCCTCCACGCCCTTCCGAAACCTATTCACAAAACTCTCCACCTCCACCACTTTATAATACTCTGCTGCCGCTACCGCCTTCCCCATCTCACTCACATCTCACTGTCGGCGCACACATTTCAATCTTCATTCTATCTCGCAAGCTAAACTGTGGCTCTGAACACCCCACACATCTCCTCGGCAAGGACGCCCACTGCGCCGTGGGCTGACAGACGGAGGCAACAGTTTTCCCAGCTGAGATTGCCGAAGAAGATGGCTAATATGTGTTGCCATCTATTGCCCAGGCCCGAACCTTCCCCATCAGCGTGCCATCAGCATTTTGAGCTTATTGAGCCACAAGTTTGAGCTCAAAGCTCGTTCCCGTTTACAGTCACTTCTATTTCCATAAAGAAGTGCTATATTTGGGTTTTAGATATATTTTGGGTGCTTTCTTTATATATACTAAACTTTAAGTGCCAAATATGTAAATCCCAATGTTTATGAAGCTATGCATGTAGATACCTCAAAAATTATATCAGGAAAAGCATTCAATTAAGAAATTTAGATCTCATTTTAATACAAAGAAATGACTTCCCTCAAAATTAGGAAGTTCCAATTCTTAGCTTACGTGTGTGGGTGTGTGCGCGCGCGCACGCGTGTGTTAGTAGCACCAAATGGCATGCACTATTTATGTCAATCAAAGGCAATGATACATGATATGTACTATATTATTTTTTAGAGTTTAGCACCTAAAATTAATATTTATATAATTTTTTTTTAATATATCAAAAAGATAAACTCATCCACAACTCCAATCCATGGCTCGTCTACAAAGTAACCTGTCTTTTATAGAGGTTCAAGACAGCCAACCAAGCTTGTGCGTCAGCTCGAACTCAATCCATTAACGAGCTTGCATTTTGAGCTTATTGAGCCACAAGTTTGAGCTCAAGCTCAAATTCAAGCTTATATAAATAATTATTAACATGAGCTTCATCTAAATTTGATTTGGAATTGCTTATAGGCTTGTTAAGTTCCCTGACTAAAAATAATGAATCGAGTTCGTTTGATTGATAAGAATGCTGTGCTCTTTTCCCGTCTATGCTAATTCTTTGTCCAAATACTTCTAGAATCACTCAAACTTACTCTTATTCTTCATAAATTTCAAAACTATCATTTACCCCTAGTCTTGAAATCATAAGCAGTAACATAGCAAAACGAATTACATCTAAATAAGAAACCTAAAGCCTACCAAAAGAAAATGAGTAATGTCCAGGCAGCACAACTAGCCGGATTACATAAGTAGATGAAGCTAACTAAATTAGAATTGACATCTCAAAGAAAAAGAATGATGTTCTATCTATTCATGCTACTTCTCTAATTTTGGATGTGGTTCAGGTTACAAACTAAAAACTTTAACAGCAATCATACAAATTCTGCTGAAAATTATAAGCTTACGAAAATTCACCTCATGCTCAAAATAAGTTTGAAAAATTGCAATTCTGCAAATTGAACTCAAATTTAGAACTTGATATGAAACAATGTATAGCATTAAAAGAATTATCAACTAAAACATTCTTAAAATCACTACAGTCATCAAAATCATTGTTTTACCATTATTTTAAGTATCTTCCTCGACATTTATGCACAAATTACTAGTAATCAGTTTCTTGAGTCTTAAAACATGTCTCCATAAAACCTCAGACTAATTGTAGATGCAATTGATTTCCCTTCAGCATTCTTATTAACTGTTACTATCGAATTGCTTATAGGTTCCCTGACTAAAAATAATGAATCGGGTTCGTTTGATTGATAAGAATGCTGTGCTCTTTTCCCGTCTATGCTATTTCTTTTTCCAAATTTATTCTTCATAAATTTCAAAACTATCATTTACCCCTAGTCTTGAAATCATAAGCAGTAACATAGCAAAACGAATTACATCTAAATAAGAAACCTAAAGCCTACCAAAAGAAAATGAGTAATGTCCAGGCAGCACAACTAGCCGGATTACATAAGTAGATGAAGCTAACTAAATTAGAATTGACATCTCAAAGAAAAAGAATGATGTTCTATCTATTCATGCTACTTCTCTAATTTTGGATGTGGTTCAGGTTACAAACTAAAAACTTTAACAGCAATCATACAAATTCTGCTGAAAATTATAAGCTTACGAAAATTCACCTCATGCTCAAAATAAGTTTGAAAAATTGCAATTCTGCAAATTGAACTCAAATTTAGAACTTGATATGAAACAATGTATAGCATTAAAAGAATTATCAACTAAAACATTCTTAAAATCACTACAGTCATCGTCAAAATCATTGTTTTACCATTATTTTAAGTATCTTCCTCGACATTTATGTACAAATTACTAGTAATCAGTTTCCTGAGTCTTAAAACATGTCGCCATAAAACCTCAGACTAATTGTAGATGCAATTAATTTCCCTTCAGCATTCTTATTAACTGTTACTATCGATAGAAACAATAGGTGCAACAAACAAAATATGACAATTTTTTTATGAAATAATGCACATGTTGAACAATTAGTAATCAACCCAGGTAAACTTTTATCATTTTTTTCAAATTCTAAGAAGTGCCCAAATGTGATGAGATATCATCTCTCATTTGACATCAGGTTTAGAATTAAACCTAAAAGTTTAACTAGCTTTTCAAATTTGTTAAAACTTTTAGAAACAATTTTAAAAGTTCTCAACAGTTCCAAGTTTATAATATAGCTTTAGCTTGCCTAGCTAATTTCATATTTGCAAATTTTACTCAGCATTATATGAATGTCATTCAAAGAAGTTACCTAAATCTAGTGCCCTGTTAGCGAAACTAAAGAAAAATTTTACCACCATAGGTAAACGCTATAACATTTCTTATTTATAACCACATTTGTACATGGTGAATAGAGGACCGAAGCACAAAGGTCCCACAAAACCATAAAGCATAATATATAGCGCAATACACATTATTTTAAATATGATGTAATGTGCAAAATTATGAATAAAAATGCAAATATGAAAGACAATTAAATTAAAACATAAGGCATCATAATAATAAAATAAAAAGTGTTGTTTAAGTGCACATTTCACAACCACATAAAATAAAAAATATTACATTTATTTTGCAAGTTAATTTTGTTTATATTGAAATTAATCTAGTCATCTAAGGAATGCTCATCATCAGAAGCAAAGAAAAAAAAAACTCATTTAAATTATCAACATCATCATTATTTACCAAATCACAAACATCTTCATCAGCTTTATAATAATTGTGGTTAATTACAACATTGTTAAAAGCTTATATGAAGACCCCTTCTCGTCATCCTTAGTAGGGGTCAGCTTCATAATAATTGTGTTCAATTACAACAATGTTAAAAGCCAATATGAAGATCCCTTCTTGTCATCCTTAGTAGGGGTGTAAATGAGCCGAACACAAGTGAGCCCAGGCTCAGCTCGTGTTCGACTCGTTTATATTTCAAGCTCAAAAAGTGTGTTCGTGTTCGACTCGTTTGCTCAGCGAGACGAACACGAGATGTTCACGAACAAAGAGTCGTTTTGACAACCTTAATCACGTAATCATAAGATATCAAGGGTTGGGGCAAGATTTTAAAATTATTGTTTAAATTAAAACAACATTTGAATCTAATTTAATAATTTTAATTATATTTTCTTAATTAATACTTTTAATTGATTATAATTCTTTGTAGCCTTGTAATCAATTAATTTTTTTAAAAATACTACTCATCAATATATATATATATATATATATATATATAATTGATGAATAGTATTTCTAGCCAAAACGAGCCGAACACGAGCTTCTTAACGAGCCGAACACGAGTTGCTCGCGAACAACGAGCCATTTTGACAGCTCATGAGCACCATTTCATATCAATATTTCCTCAATAATAACTAATTCATTATATTCATGTGATCCATTATCCAATTTTAATGTTAATCACTCATTAGCATCAACAATATCATTTAATGAGATATGATCAATATAATCATATCTACAAACCAAAGCGTTATTATGTTTTACATAAACTAAATCTTTCAGGTGACCATGATCCATCATGCTTCTTTTGTTCTGAAGTCGCAATTAAAAAATATTAAAACTATTAAATTATAAAACTCAATATAAAAATAAATACATAATTTTATTTTGAACTGATATGTTCAAATATACTTGAATTGTGTTCACACTTAGATGAACTATAAATTAAGATGGCACTTTAATCACAAAACAGGGTACAGCTCTCTAGCTATACACTAGCCACAAATAAGGTAAAAGAATTCAAGAACATTATTATTTAAATAATAAAAGATTATTTAATACAAATTATAATTTTATTAAAACTAAACTACCTAGTGCCCAAGTGATAGTCATAAAGCTAGAGAAATACAAAAAAAAAAAAATACACACCTAGTGTATACACTCAACTTATTATTAATTTATCCTCTTCATTGACATCCTCAAAATTAGAAAAAGTCATCTTAGATGGTTTGGTCACATTAAACGTCGACCATATGATGATCCGATTAGGAGAACAGATGTTTTAGATTCGACTTATGTTAAGACTTATGTTAAGAAAGGCAGAGGTAGACCTAGGAAGACTTGGGTTTATTGTATAAAATATAATCTTGATTTACTACAACTAAATGAAAATATGACACTAAATAGGACGCAATGGAGATAAATGATTCATGTAGCCGACCCCACGTAGTGAGATTAAGGCTTTGTTGTTGTTGTATTGGCATCCTTAGCAAACCATCCAATGCATGCATATAATCAATCAGCTATTGCTTCTTTTTTACATTATTATAGTTACTGAAAAAATATTAGAATTTAAGAAATATGTAACTGTATGCAAAGGATGATGGAGTTGCATTTCTTTTCTATTAATACTTTCAAAAATTTATTCGTAGTTATCAAGACTAGTACAACTTACAATAAATTCATCTTTTGCACTATCTATCATGATCCATATGAACTATCAAACATTTTTCTCCATCAATCAATCTAGGACATTCAACAAAGGGCCACCTAAAAAAAATTTTTTTGCTTCAAGATGATCTGATATGCTTGCTTTGCCTTCTTTCAAATAATGATCCAACACAAAATCCTTACATATAAATATTAACACAAATACTTTACATATAAATATTTTCTTCAAATGCATTTGTGGCAAATGAAAACATTGTAATTTCAAGAAGGCAACAGCAAAGCGAGTATCGGTAAACTTGACTATGATCTTTAATTTATACATCTACTCATTAAATCAAGCAACTATGGTCATCAATAAATGAAACTACACAATTCCACCACATTTTCTAAACATCGCCTTAGACTTTGAATCTTGAGGATATCTTCCATTATTAAGCCTAAACAATGAGCAATATGAGAAATTTAATATAAGTATGATATTTATATATCAATAACTTCTCTATAATAATAACATGCCAAATCAAAAAAGTATAAAACTTGAACCAAATGGAAGTATGTAGTGAGTCATTAATCTGCAAGAACAATCTCACAAATATTATCAATAACACAACATGTTCAGTTTTCTTGATAGACTTAATAATTAGAAAATATTTATTGCATTTTTTAAATAAGAACTAGCATCATCAACAACTTGACTATTTTCTTTTTCATTATGAGATGTCCAACTATCAGCCATAAAAGAACAATTAGGTTCAAGACTATACTTTATAGTGATGCAACAATTGTTCTTTGTGTCCTATCCCTTCCTTCAAATAAAGAACCTGCACCCATAATAACTATATGATCTCATCCCTAGTCCAATGTGTCTAAATGCTTTCACTACTGAAAGAAAGCTATCATACTTACCAGCATTAAAGGAATGACGGCGTCATTACATCCAATAACAAAATACTTGGACCATTCTTTCTTCATCTCCAACCTAATAATTTCCATCTCTCTCTCTCTCTCTCTTTTTTTTTTTTTTTGGCTTCATCGCTTTAACAGAATTTGTAGAAAAAAAAAAGTATCCATCGATCCTTAAAACCTTAATTCTTTAAGCATAAAAATTGTTGAACTTTGACTAGATGCTTTTGATTTTATCATATTGTATCTTTTTTATGGCATGCCACATAAAATATCGCCATCCAGCATTATATAGAAGTCAACATTTTCATCAATATTAACATGTAAAACTTCATTAATTTAGTCATTTAACTCTTATCTTCATTAAAGACACTTAAGTTTAATCTTTTATATGTTGAGGGTAATTAGTGGAACTTTTAGCATTCTTAAAGCCCCCAACCAAATTATTTTTGAAATGACCAATTCCTTTTGCCATTTCACCATGAAAAATATGTCTAGCAATTGTATCATTTTCTTTCTCCAAGAGTAAACATTCTTTCTAATACTTAATAGTGATAGAGATAGCTATAAATACCAAAATGTGCTCACTAAAAATTTATCAACAAAATACAATTTAGAAATTGCAAATTTGAGATAAAAGGTGAGAAAGAATATCTTCATTAAAGCATTGCCAAGTCCTTATCCTTGGTCATTTGATAAGGCTTGCAGGGTTGAAGGAACTAGATTTGCAAGTGGAAAAGTAAGGTTTGTGGGTTGAATGATGAAGGCATACGAGTTTAATGGATGATGCTTGCGGGATTGGCACGAGGTGCGTGGTCAAGAGAGTGAGAGTCAAGTGGATGAATGACGCAGAGAGATATGAGGCTGACTAGACTTGCATCTTGCAGCGCAATTCACGTGATGCCCTATAGCCGAACACGATCAAGCGGGAAAAGATGAAAGCCAAGCAGAACCTTAATTAATCTAACAAAATTAAAAGGTACATAATAAATAATATAATTTTAAGTTTGTAAAAATATGTAAATGAAAATAGCATGTGTTGTAGAGGCTATGTATAATGCTCTATTGCCCATGCATAATGCAAATAGTGTGCACTAATTGAACCCTTGTGTTGTGCTACAAAAAAGGTGCAAAGGGAGCGCCACTCAAAGTTATGTGCTATAACATGGGTCATTTTGTACTAGACATCATTTAGCCAGAAACTTGGTTTCTTTATACACAAATTAACACATAAAAGAATAATAAATAATCAAATAAATTTGAAAAATGTGGGTGCACGTGTAGCGTGTAAGCATGTGTGTTATTGTATGTGTGCTTGTGAGTGTGTAATCCCAAAAAATCTCATATCCTATTATATATGTGAGCAGCAATAATAATAGTAAATAGCAGCTAAATCACATTATCATAATCACTAGTAGTAGAAAAACCATACAAAAATGCAACAGTAAAAACCAATCCAACGTATTGTCATAAAGCAAAAAATGTTTCATTACAGCGAAAATGTTTTACAGATCATGCAGTCAAACCTCACACTTGTATCAAAAATCATAGACAATAGATGAACCTCGCTTTCTCATGTTCTAGATAATTTGAATAAACACGAATGTGAAAATTGTTACAACAATTATCTCATAATATCCTCAATTTGACTTGAGACGAAAAGAGTAGACGGGAAAGTAAAAAAAAAAATAGAGTAGAGCTTTACATGAAAAAGCCAACCAAGCTTCACTCGTTAACGAAATTCAAATAAATTGGGTCCACATTGCTTGGGTGGCTCAATCAAGCAATCATACACTTACCAAACAATAGAGTATATTACACTCCCACTTTTATCGGATCAACAGGGTAAAGTGGACCCAAATTTCAAGGGAATAGAAACTTTTTATATAAAACAATTTTGTGCTTAAAAAAAGTAATATATAAATAATATAAAGACAGGAGAAAAGATTTCTTAAGACAGATAGAATTATGCGCATGAATAGAATAGGATCTTAAATATTAAGTTATTAAAAAGAAATGAAAATTATATTTCAAAAAATTATCAAATCATGCCTTAGTGGTAAAGATCTTGGAATTTATTAAATTGAAAAAACACAAACAAAGAAATAATAAAATGTTTTATATATAATATAAAAAAAAGTTGAAGAAAATTAATCATTAAAACATATGGATAAATGTAAAGTTTTAAATCCAACGGATGCTAGTTATGTTAGTAGTAAAGATCTTGGAAGTTATTGCCAAGTTCCGGAGATCAAATTCTTCTTTACGTCGAATTGACACTTCGCTTCGCCATTCAAATTTTTCAAAGATCTTTAAATCAAAATAAGATACCTATTAAGATTTGATGTAGGATTTGAATAGAAATACACATCTAATCAAACAATTTCTATAAACAGAATACCAAGAGATTTACAATGAAATTTATTTTTGGTCAGAGAAAATAGCTAAATAATCTTCCACTACAATCTTCCAAATGTGTGCACAAAACCTCCCCACCGTAATGAAAATCAGAAACAAAAGAAGCATGTTTTCTCACTTTCTAGACAAATGCTTCAAGAACAAGTAAAGCACACACCATCACTTCTAAAAATCTGTTCCAAATCATTCATAATCTCATACCTTCGGTTGTCTAAATATTTTGATGTGGAGAAGAAAAAAAATAAACAGTGACACAGCAGTAAACATGAGCACAACCTGACATTTGCACCACTAATTTAAAATGCATCAACTATTTAATTGCCATAAATCTCATCAACGCTATAACCATATCCAATAAATCCATTAACAGACAAGTCAGATGAACCATAGAAATTAAAAGGTTCAATAAACTAGTCCTCAAATTTGCAGAATGGAACATAAGTGTTACCTGAGCTGGATAACTTGGAGCATAGGTAACATGTGTAGTACCCTGAGCTATCGAAGTAGGCATCTGAGGCTGGCCATAGCTCGCATAACTGTACGCACCATATCCGGCCTGAAACAGTTTGATGGTGAGAGAAAAATTTTACATACAAAGAATTAATGGGTAGTTCAAACTTTTTATCACCTTTGAATATTTATCAAAAACACTTTAAAATCCAAAATTAAATGAAAAACCGGCATAAAATGCAGCAGAAAAAGTGCAACGTTACAAAAATTTATAATAAGGCTAGCCGCATAAAATCAAGTTCACACTAACTATTATAAAAAATTATTGAATATTGTGTCCGTATCATTAGAGGTCACTTAAAAGCAAGTCAGGTAGATTGCACAGTAATCAGCATATATGATAAACCACGAACAATTTAAAAGGATTAAACGAGCTGCAAACTCAAAAAAAAAAAAAAACATATAACTTGTGCTAAAGAAACCAAAATAGTCTGCCTTCAAAAAGGCAATTGTTGGAAAAAAACCATTCATGCCAAAAATAAATAAATAAATCAAATCAAGATCTCATTAACTCGTGCCAAGAAAGAAAAGTAAAAAATCCCATGGATCCATGCCAAGGAAATAAAGAATTTGCTTGAGCTTTAAAAGCATATTTTGGAATCCATGGATTTCAAATCTGAATTTTAAATAATTTTCCTACTTTTGTTTCTTTTTTTTCTTTTTGGTGCAATCTATATATCATCTTGTATATCATAATTTGAATGGCTAAAAAAGACTGTTGATAATCTCCACCTGGTGCAAATTTTCAAATATTTTGGCATTTTCACGTGCCTAAACCTCCATCGCCGTCTACACTTAAGCAAGCCCTAGCAAACTCATCTCAAGTTATGCTTTTGCCCTTCATCATCATTGCTCAAAGATTCATGCACTTCAACGAGATGCTGACCCACGGCAATATGAAATTACCTCCAGGCCATGAAAATCATAAAATTCAATGAGATGCTGACCCACGACAATATGAAATTACCTCCAGGCCATGAAAATCATAAAAATTTTGCAGACCTTTATCACTGCCATGTTATTCACCAATTTCTCCTGATTGTTTCAACCGCTAAAATCATCATCAATTTATCACCTCTACTAATCAACTTAAGCTCAAAGCCAAGCTCTAGTCTTGATATGCTCTAGCTATAATCCTCCTGAGACAAATCCTGCTAGAGCTTTCTTTTCTTCTTGATGAGTCAATTAATCTTTAGTATTGCAGGTGATATAACTCTTAACCGAAAAGAGCTTGTAGCAATGTAACAAAGAAGCTACAACTAAGAAGAATAAATACAACAACAACAAGCCTTTATACCACTAAGTGGGGTCGTCTACATGAATCTTTTTTTTTCTCCATTATGTCCTATTTTTCATTTAATTATAATAAATTAAGATCATTTTTTATACAACATACCCAAATCTTTTTAGATAAACCTCTACCTTCTTAAAATAAAGTCGAATCTAAAGAATCTACTCTCCTAATCTAATCATCAGATGGTTGATGCTTAATGTGGCAATCCTGATAACACTCTCTAATCTTGTCTGGCACTGGAGCTACACCCTTCCTTTCATGGATACATTCGTTTCGCATTTTGTCTCTAAGTGTCAAATCCCTCATCCAACTAAGAAGATTAAATAACAAAACAAAAATAACTGCTCATAAAAATCAAGAATGCCTACACAACAAGGAAGAAGATGCAAACAATGAAAAGAACACTAGGAACATAGAAAGCAGCATCCCTTAAGAATAAAAGAGAAGGAATACATAAGTCTTTATCTCATCTGATATAGCAAACCAAAGACAATGAAAGGTGAGAAAGAGGACTCGACAATGTGGAAAATAGTAATGATCAACTTAATGGAAATATCATAGAAAAGAGATCTTCTTATGCATGCATTAACACTCTCAAGTAAGCCTCCACTTTTTTTATTATATTTCTCAAAAAAGTATTTGGCCAACTCTTACGTAACTGACTCCGATTCTATAAACTATAAGATCCTCAACTCTCAATATTTCAACTCTTATTTCTCAAGGAAACTATTTTTACAATTGCAGAGCTAGGTGATATTCATGCCTCTTTTCTAACCCTTGAAATTTTCCATCTTACAAAATTGTAAGTTCACAAGTTTCAATTCAAAAGTTACATAAGAGCTAAGATATTATGTAAATCAATTTTCCTAAACTTTTAGGATGAAAATTCAAAGACAGATTTGACTTGCTATGGAAAAGGACATGTTTTGTCACTTCAAAACATTGAATGTCCCCTCTAGTATTCCTATGTGGTCAAGTTAGGGTCTGTTTGGGGCAACTGTAGCTTATCCAGCTTATCCAGATAAACTACTAATCCTGATAAGCTGCTGATCAACGGCTGATTACGGATAAGTTGTCTGAATGTTTGGTTTGTGCGTTTAAAAAACAGCTGATTCTGAATAAATGATCATTCTGCGCCTGATTTGGATAAATTATTTAATTGTTTGGTTTGTATTTTGAAAACAGCTGATTTGCAGATTTTTTTATGTAAATGAACAATCTGGCACGCAAAAATTGTAATAACCCAATGGGCGAGGGACAACCATTGTTATACCAAGCACGCAAAAATTGTAATGTTGATAAAAAATCTTAACCCAATGGGCGAGGGACAACCATTGTTATACCAACATCAACTAGTTTTCAAGTATTCAATGAATGACATAACCAATAATCTGCATAACTTATAAGAAACGATTAAATAGTGCTCTTAGCACCCTCCCTCATAATGGAACAAATCATAGTAAGTCAGTTTATTAGTTCTCACATTTCTAAATTACCCCCCTTAACTAATAGTGGGGATATTAAGGGAAACTGAAATAGATGAAGCCAAACAAATATAGATAATATTTCATAAACATGTGCATTTATAGCTGATATACCATAAGATCATCAATTCAAAGCAATGTTAACTTTTATGTCGAATAATATTTCATAAACATTTGCGAGTAGGACCCTCGGCTACGAGATGCGAACGAACCCTCGGCTACAAGCAGGGCACTGGCGTAATAATGCGAAAGAAACGCGGCCCGCAAGGATCATCCCGCGGGTCGCATGTTTCAGAAATACAAAACTTTGTTTTTAGACAATCTGGCGAAATGCTCGAACCAAACAATACGACAGTATTTTCAAAACACCGCCCGCAGTTATAAACTGCCCCAAATAGGCCCTTAATCCCAAAATATTACATTTCTTAAACTTAAACCCTTTACTATACCAAAATGAGCATAATTGGTCCTTTGAGGACTAGAATGAAATCAACTTTGTATAGTCAAGAAACTAAATTTTGAATAATTTTTATCTTATGGCCCTTTGGGATCAAGTTTGTATGGTTAAAAGATTAAGGGTATGTTTGGGGCAGCTTGTGCGTTTCAGGATAAGCAGCTTATTCTGAAATGCGGCCCGCGGGTCAACCTGCGGCATGCGATTAGTGTAAAAAACTCAAACGCAGCTGACAGCATTTTCAAAAACGCGCAAATCAAACGGTTAGGCGGCGTTTTTAAAAATGCTGCCGCACTTATAAGCTGCCCCAAACAGGCCCTAAATTGGGAAAATGTAATAAGGGACCAAATTACTGTCATTGAATAATTGAGAGAGGTTTTAGCTTTTTCTCAATCTTCAAAATAAAATAGCATTTGTTTTCAACACTTTCTATGCAATCATCAATCCTTTTAAAATATAAATATTATGTTTCCTACTTTGTTCAAAGGTTTAATATCTCTAATTTTCATTGTAAGATATAAGAACTACAAAAATGCACTAAAATATCCTTTTTTCCTGATAACAAAACTAATCCATTTGAATTAAGCCATACCAAAATTTGGGAGCCATCAACATTTCCAAATGTTTTAGGATTTTAGCGGTTTGTTTCTCTGATTAATGATTGTATTAGAGTTACGTAGTGCTTAAACATCTAGTGTAACATTATTCTAGTTTTTTAATTAGTGACTCAAATAATGTTGGAGTCAATTAAAAATTTAGGGTTTGATAAAGACAGATTACTTCAATTATTTTTAACCCCTACGTTCACACAGTGCATCATTTCATGGATGAACAAGTGCTTAAACATCTAGTGTTAACATTATTCTAGTTTTTTAATTAGTGACTCAAATCATGTTGGAGTCGATTAAAAATTTAGGGTTTGATAAAGACAGATTACTTCAATTATTTTTAACCCCTACGTTCACACAGTGCATCATTTCATGAATGAACAAGTGTACATACACAACAAAAAAATGAGATTGTAAAAAGAACAAGAAGACCACTAATATCACTCAAATCAGTATAGTTTAAAGGGAATCCTCTTGAAAGATTCGGAGGAAAAGCTATCCTCCATGCAACCAACATGATAAATAAACTACTTTGTAAAACCTTTAATGGTCTAATACCAGAATATTTGGATGTGCCCCATTTATACATATTCACAATCAAAATAGAGGGAAAGTTTACCCTTGAGGCATTAAATGTGTTTTGGAATTAACCCCTTTTAAGAGATGTTAAACATCTGCTAATGTCACATTTGTGCAAAATAAACGCTTCATACGAGCTTACCCTTAGGGAGAGATTTCACTCAATGAATATAAAGATTATGGTCACTCTAGTTTTAGTCCTAAATAAACTCTTTTTTCCTCATTTTTTTGCAGTTAAGATGTAACGTCCCTTTTATTATCTGGGGGAGAAGAATCGTAGAGCTGGGCAGGAGAGAAGATAAAGTGAACAATCAAGCAAACAAATAACCAAAGAAAAAAACGAGCAGTTGTGACATCGAGTGGAGAGGAGAGAAAGGGAGGGGTTGATTTCAAAGAGGCAACTTGGCTCTATAAAGCGTAGTAGCCTACTTACATGGAGAATGGTGCATACGGGAGACAACAAGCGCTAACTAGGGCTTCCCGTGCTTCGATCAAAATTGAGGCAGTGTTGATGACAAGCAGTGGAGTCGGCGTCGGTGTTGTATAGAGGAAGAGGAAGCGAGGAAGATGCGCTTGTGACGTGCGAGGGCAGAGAGGATGGCGCCCGAGCAGCCCGACGCAAAGAAGCTTAAGAAAGGAAGGAGTGGAAGAGGACGATGTCGAGGAAGAAGCTCACTCGTGTGTGTGATTCAGTTCTCTAGCGCAGGGAAGCTTTATCATGCACAGTGGTAGAAACTCGTGGAAGGAAGTCGTTCGCGTGATTACCGAAGATTATAAGGTGCGTTTAACAAGTTTAATTAAAATATTTAATAAGAATTTTATACTTAATATATATATATAAGATTTTAACTCTTTCTCTAATCTTATCCATAAGAAGGATATCATTAGCGAAAAGTAAACACTAAGGTGCATCCAGTTGTAAATGTCCAGTAAAAGCATCCATAACCAAAGCAAAAAGATAAGGGCATAAAGTCGATCCCTGGCGTACTCCAACTGAAATAGAAAAATATTTGGGCAATCCTCCTTTTATTCGAACACAAGTAACAACTTTAGTATACATATCTTTAATGACTTGAATATAAGTCATATTAACATCTTTCTTCTCTAAAACTCTCAAGAAGATTTCTCTTGGAACGTTATCATAACTTATCATAAGCTTTTTTTCTAAATCAATAAAAATCATATGTAGGTTCTTTTTAGTCTCTCTATATTTCTCCATCAAATCTCTCAATAAATGTACATCCTCCACAATAGACTTGCCCGGCATGAGTCTAAAATGATTTTGAGAAATTTTTTATATGATATCATAACCTATGTTGAATTACTTCTCCCATAATGTATGACATTAATGTAATCTTCTATAATTTATACATTTTCTCGTGCATCCCGTTATTCTTAACAATGGGGACCAAAATACTCTTCCTCGCTCGTGCATCCCGTTATTCTTAAAAATGGGGACCAAAATACTCTTCCTCCACTCCTCAGGCATTATTTTTAGCTTTTAAAATAATGTTAAAGAGTTTAGTAAGCCAAGAAACTCCCAAATTTCCTCAATATTTCCACACTTCAATTGAAATATCATCAAGTTCAACTAATTTTCCACCCTTGGTTTCTTTAAAGACTCGTCAACTTCTTTTTATTAAAGCAACGGTAAAAATAAAACATTTTATCATTATTAACAATATTAAGTTCACTAAGGTCGATTGTATTTTCAAAAACTTCATTGAAAAGTTAATCAAAATGGCTCACCAATCTACATTGAATATCATTTTCAAAGAAAAACATTTTTAATTTTCATCTTTAATACACTCTAATTGAATTAAATCTTTACTTTTCTTTTATTTTTGTTTGGCTAGTTTATACATATATTTTTTACCCTCTTTAGTATCTACTTTATTATAAAGATCGCTAAAAGAAGAATTTTTAGTGTCACAAATTATTAGACTCCCTACTGGCTGCCTTATTTTTCCCAGCTCTCTAAGTTTTTACATTTAAGTCAATTTTTATAACACAACTTCTATTTTATCATTTCTTGCACATTATTATTCCATTACCAACTATTTTTATTTATAGAAATATCTCCTTTTGATTCTCCAACATAACCCACAGAATTTGTGAATCATAAAAATCATCCAGAATGGGGTTAAATTTTATGTGGGAAGGACCAATGAAATTGTATTGCAACAACAAATAAGCAATGAACATTCTGCATAGCTCTAAGTTCAATATAACCACACAAATCATATTGGGATTAAAAGACGCTTCATCAAAAAAGAATTAAACAAAGCGTAATTTTTGCATGTTTTATGCATTCTATGGAAATCAACCGGTTTTTACTAAAGAACTAGGTTGAGCAACATTTCATGAAATCATCTCCAAGATGGAAATGAAATACATGTACTCTACAGTTTGAAATGTAGCGTTAGAACCCACTGATTCTTGCTGAGAAAAAGGAAAGCAAGGTCCCATTAATTCAAGCCAAGAAACGAAATCATGATCCCACAAATCCATGCCAAGGAAATTTAGAATTTGTTTAGGCATGAAAAGCATATTAGAAATCTTTGGGGGAAAAAATGATTATGTATAAGATATTTATAATTTTTATAACTATAGGTAATTATTTTAATTTAATTTATATATTTTCTTCTTGAATCAATAATGTTGCATATTTAAACGAATTTCACAATCCACGTGAATTTTAATCTTCACTTGCTAGAATTTAAAAAATGCATATGCCATAGCCAGAAAAAATAAATTGTGAAATGTTTCGTATATCATCACAGAAATGCACTTCAAGAAATACATACCATTACCAGAAATCAGTTAACCAGTTAAAAAATTATAATCATTAACTAGCATACCTGCGATGGATACCCCGGATTCCAGGGTTGCCCTTGTGTCTGTGGATTCCCTTGGGGCCAAGAAGGAACTTTTTGTTCATAACCAACAGGCCACTGGTTTTGAGAACTAGGATATGCTCCCATGACAGATTGAGCAGGTATAGGAGCACTCTTTGCAATTTTTGCTTTCTCTGATGCTAGAAAATCATTTGCACGTCGCTTTTTTGATACCAAAACGCTTTTTTGTCGCAGGAACAGCAATGCATGCCGGTCTTCAGCCTTTTTTATTGAATGAGGGTCTCCAAAGAGATCTAGAAACTGCAATGACATCAGGAAATAAGGTAATAAAAAAGCTCCCAACAGTCAAACAAAAAACAATCAACAATATATGATTATGCAGCAGCAAAACTGTAATAAATTAAATTCATTACCAATTAGACAAGCATAAGTTACCTAGAATTTCAGCTGACACAAATTTAGAATCACGGATATTGTGCTACACAAACACGCACACACACATTGCACACACACTACAAACGCACAAAAACGCAATGTTAGATAAGCATTGATTGGAATTAGAAATAACTATGGAGTAAACAAAGACTAAATCACAGACTAACATTCACTCTTCATTTCTTTGCTTGAGCTATAGAGAATTTCAGCTGACACAAATTTAGAATCACGGATAATGTGCTACACAAACACGCACACACACATTGCACACACACTACAAACGCACAAAAACGCAATGTTAGATAAGCATTGATTGGAATTAGAAATAACTATGGAGTAAACAAAGACTAAATCACAGACTAACATTCACTCTTCATTTCTTTGCTTGAGCTATAGAGATGTCTACAAATAAAATACTAAGTTATCATTGTGTATGCTATTTGAAGTAAAATTGTTATTATCAGTAAGAAGTCCGTAGAAATAAGTGTAAAGTTAAATTACAAGGAAGTGTTTAATAGATAATAGACTTAGGATCAACAGACTGAAGGCTGAAAACAAACATGACATTTTAGTTGTTGTGGAAATAATAAATATCAAAAAAATATTGCAAAATGGTTAAGTGATACTGAGGTGTGAAAAGTTTACACTTATATTCTATTATATAGAATAATAGTAATATAAAACATAGTATAAATTTTAAATTTATGATTGGGTAAGACAAATGAAAAAGGGCTTAAAAAATACAATACAATAAGAAATTGTAATAGATACTTAAAAAAATGAATTTAAGAAAAATACAAAATAGCAAGTAGGTTATATAGATTAAAATATTGAAAGATAAAAAAAAAAGCTATTGATAAGCAAGTTGAGTATGAGTTTAACAAATAGCATTAAGATGGGTGTGCATTAAAACTAAAATGAATGAATTAAAATCAAGACTATTAGAGTAGCATAGATTAAAAATAAGGTAATAGAAAAGAATGCTACTACAAGATGCAACAATAAGTCGATTAGATAAAATTAATGTATAAAGATGAGAAGGAAAAACGGTAGACAAAAAATAACTAGGATAGAAGTTCTTTTTTCTCTAACAGTTTCTCCACAGTGGATTCACGCTTCTTATTATAATTAGGATTGGAAGGATTTCTTCTCTTAGTTGGATCATTTAGATGCGTAAAGCTTGTCGCAAAGTTTACAATTATGATATTAGCTTGGCTATCTCTACAATTACATGATGTAATTCCCAACTAAATGATAACTTTCGCAACTTCTTTAATTGTTGTCTTATATCTAATACATGGAGAAAGCTTCATTATCTCTTTGGAGTCCCAAGAGAAGCTTGAATCTATTTTTATTATAAAAGAGACACCTCCATCAAGAAAAGTATAATGGACATTTAGGTCATCTTCCTTTCAGGAGGGGTTCAAATATTTGACAGGAAGAACAATAGATGTTTTTCTTTAAAAAGAAAAGACAACCATCAAGTTCAGCATGATCACCTAAGCTTGCTTTTGGGTAGTAATTACTAGAAAAAGATACGCCAGCAAATAAACAAGAAGAGAATGGAGATTCCAAATAAGCCTTTAGCAACGTTTAGCACAACTATTTAACTTCGACAGTTGCTTTTCTTTACTCTTGCAACTCTCTCCTTTTTCAAAATTTGCAAATAATTGATTCAGTTGTTTAGTTGCTTTTCTTTACTCTTGCAACTCTCTCTCCTTTTTCAAAATTTGCAAATAATTGATTCGTTTAATGAGCATAGGCTTTCTCAGCTAGTCAATAAAAAAAAGCTACCAATGTAAGTTCTGCAAAAAAAAATTTATATAAAATAAAATTAGCAAATAGGAATGGATGATGAGACTTCACATTGTTGACTCAAAATAGCTTCTATTATAAGGCAAATGTTAATGAAGATGGCGAATAAGGAAATCAAGATGCATTGCCTATATAATTCATGAATGCTCGATAAGTTGGAACTTTTAAATGCTTAAATTTTATCCATTAAAATAAGCACACAACAAAAAAGGTGATGAAATGAAACATTGCCGTATCAAACAAATACTGTCAGGATTATACTTTCATGCATGCTACCAGAAGATCACAAACTAAGAAACTCCACAAACAAGTTGTTGCATCTTATATTTGAAATTAAAGAGTTGAGTAATTCAAGTTGGGGCATATTTCCACACTTTAAAGGCTAAAAAATGCAGATTCATTACCTCCAAAAATATGTAAGATATATCCTCCCTGTCAGTTGGGCTTGCCATACAGTTGTTTGTATTAGGTGTAGTGAACTTCTCAACCAGTAAATCTATATATTCAATACGCTTAGGAAAAGGTAGAATTGATTCCAAATGAATAGCAGCCTATACAGATATAAAATCAAGTTCAGTATAGTCCAATATTTACAAGGAGAACGAGAAATTTTAGCCAAAAAAAAAAAAATGCATCTCAAGGGAAATCAACCTCAAGAATAGGTTTTGACAACTCCGTATTTTCTAGGGCTCCAGAAAAAATATCCCTTGCTTTTTCAGCATTACCAGCAACCTGCAAAATAATAAAGAACAAAACAATAAAAAACAAAATTAGTAAATATGGCAATCAATGCCAGTGAAACCACTAGAGAGCTTAGGCTGCAACAATTACACCTCACAATACTCAGAAGAACCAAAATAAATAAGCAAAGAGCATTGCTATCATCAAAATTAACAACCTATGTAATCAATCCAACAGTTTCTTATTTAAAGGGAATTGAGAAGTTTTGTGCCTGAGGTACCTGACATAACGATAACTAATACAAGGCTAAAGAAATTGAATACAAACATACGGTAATCAAACAATTTCATTGTAAAAACTTTGCTAGGAGCTGCCACGCGTGAGCTAATAAAAAATGTAAGGTATCAGGCATCTATCAAGAATCATCAATCCTTCGGGACGTCTATTAGTTTATAGGTTGTCTTAATTGCAATAACCGTTAAAAGATAGAAGTAAATATTTTCCTAAGTGAAATAAACTCCTTGTTCTGCTTGTCTAAGAAAACAAACCCGCCATCATGTACCTAATCCTTACAAACCCAAACAAAGTGCTTAAACACTTTTCTCAGAATTCCAGTCAGGAATTTTCACTCATATCGTTTAGAGGATATCATGCCAATTCAAAGGGAGATATTGCATAGCTAAAACTAACCAGGACAAATATGTAGAACATATCTCAGTGCTATGAAACAACAACAACAACGCCTTAATCCCACTTCGTGGGGTCGGCTACATGAATCTTTTTTCTCTATTGCGTCCTATTTAGTGTCATATTTTCATTTAGTTCTAGTAAATTAAGATCATTTTTAATACAATAAGCCCAAGTCTTCCTAGGTCTACCTCTGCCTTTCTTAACACAAGTCGAATCTAAAACATCTACTCTCCTAATCGGATCATCAGATGGTCGACGTTTAATGTGACCAAACCATCTAAGACGACTTGCTCTAATTTTGTCCATCACAGGAGCTACACCAACCCTATCACGAATATATTCATTTCACATTTTGTCTCTAAGTGTAAAGCCACTCATCCACCTAATCATTCTCATCTCGGCAACACTTAACTTATTATTATGCTTCTCTTTTAAAGGCCAACATTCAGCGCCAACATCTCAGTGCTATGAAAAAAAAAAAAAAATACAAAGCTAAATGGCATACTATTTATAAAAATGATAGTAGAAGCGTACAAAGCTGAATGGCATACTATTTATAAAAATGATAGTAGAAGCGAGTGAAAAAAGACTTAAAAGTAACATTAAAGAGGCCAAATAACATACAACAGATTGAGATGGTTTTGTCATATATGATTCTGAGTACAGAAACCATTAGTGGGGAAGGGTGGCACTATGAGTTTATAAAAGGACTAGGAAGCAAATGGGTGGACCACACAAATAGCAAAAACGATGTGGGGTGTATCTTGCTCGTGCAGCCTTTCCCGCAACAGGAAGCTACTGTGCCTAGACTGAATCGGTTTATATATTTTCATTGTGGGGGAGACGGTCGGTTCCCTTGGGCCACTCCTAGTTATCATAACACTATACATTTGCTTTCCCGATGCTTAAGAGTTATTTTTTGAGTGAATTTGTTTAGAACATCGGTCGGTATCCGTTTTTCCCCTTCGAGGGATGTATGGTTTGGGAGGTGCTCCAGTTGTATCTCTCCCGAGGCAGTAATTATCTTCCCTATTCCCTTCCACCTACACCCCACGTCGCTCCCGGCCGCTCTGTCGCCACTGCAGCTGCCTGGGACAGCAGTTGTTTTTTTCTTCCTGCAGTTTCCCCATTTCCAGCCGCCTACCTCCCTTCCCCTCCTGGCTGCCATGCCGCGCAGCCACCTCCACCCTTCCCCAACATTCCCGCATCACTCCCAATTGCTGATCTTCGCTGCCTTCATCCACAAAACAGAAAATCTGCCTTTTTACTGCTGTTCAACCATCATTCTGACTTGCTGCTACCTGGACTGCAGCCTAACCTGCTGTTCCTGCAGTCCCACCTTGTGGCCCCTGCACCAGACAGCACTTCTCTTACTGTCCTACAGTTCACAGCCCTTACCCTTCGCTGACCCAGCCCTCCGCTATGCCGCCAACACAATTCCAGCCCCTCATTTTGCTGTCCCAACCACCCACAACCCATTTTAGACACCTATCTCCACTCCCAGACAGCCTAACCAGCCACCACTACCCATGTGGATCAAGCCCTACTGTAAGTTTATCTTATATATTGTAATTTCACTTCCAAGTATATTTAATTGTAAGTCTATATTTTCTTTAAGTAACAATATTTGTGTTCCTCTTATTATTTGGGGTTAATTACGGTATCAAAAAGGTTCTCTAAAAACAATACAACTAAACAAGAATCAATACCAAATGCAATGTTTAACAGAATTCAGTGAAGGAGAATACCTAAGGCTAATCAAAATAGCTCATATAAAGTTTGATGATAACGATCATAATTAAGATAAACTCAAAGATTTGGACATTGCATACCAGATACAAGAAGCGTGAGTACAAAATAAGCAACATTGGTAATATTTGCGACTGATCCTTTTCCTGTTCAGCAGCAATAGCCTTCTCATATATAGAGAGAGCATCCTCCTTGTTTCCCTAACATTTTTAAAACTTTAGATAGTTATCTCAGAGAGATTAATGGTTTATTCTAACCACCTACCAAGCGATATTCCATGTTCACATGCCTCAGTATCGCTTCTAGAAAACCAGGTGATATTTCTGAGTAAAGAAGCTCATACTCTGAGCGTGCACCTAAAATATCTCCACTATGTTCCTTGAATCGAGCAGCAAAAAGATGTATCTCAGGTTGCTTCTGTTATACAAAAGAAAAAAAGTTATAGACTTCTTAGAAAAATTTGAGGTCAGGCATCAGCAGTGTGAATATAGCTAAACAACCAAGTACTGCAGGCATCCTAAAATAACTTACTGAACAATTAATTACAATAATCTGACGTTAATTAAAATAATAAATGTTCAATGTAGTTGCGTTCAAGTTCCAAGTACCATAAACTTGCTAAACAAATCATCTTAAATAAAGTACCCAAAAAGAAATATTTAAAATAAATTATAATGATCAAGTTTAAAGGATACAAAACAAGAAATTTTTCTAAATATTCTCTACTATCTAGTCCATCATAATTTAAATCCTATTCTCTCAAACCACATTTGTAGTTTTGCTTCTCTTCATCTATCTTCTTAGATTCATCTTATTTTTTTTCAGGGTTTACTATGATGAAACTCAAATCTCTTGCATCAACATTTGATCGAACTTTCTAACTCATCATCCACTTTTGAAATATTAGAACACCCAATGCCAACAAACTAAGTCATGTCCTTGGGCATCAACAAAATAATGGGTTTACATAAAAGATGTATGATGCACTATGAAATTTGCCTCACCGGGGTGCATAGGACAGAAAACTTGCATTTAACAACTTAGTTACCAATCTTGACTAGGAATATAAAAAGTGCATGATGGCACTAGTGCTTAGCTATATTCCTGGATTAAAATTTATATGTTCTTCAAATGGCGATTGATTTTCAGTAAATTGCTGGTATAATAGAGATACTACTTAAAAGTGCCTACCTTTCAGTAACTACAACTTTGCCATGAATTATTCTATTTAACTAATAAACAACTAATCTAACTCTATTTGAAGAATAGTTTTTCCACGTCCTGCACAACACACCTTTAAACAAGCATTGATTGTATAGAAACTGTTAAAATATTGCCTCTTCATCTCAAAGGTTCCTTTAAATTTCATTCATCTTTGCTCCAAAGTTTGTCCTCAAATTTGACAGCTTCTCTTGATCGGGCATTTAAAAGAGAGCTCTGATTCGGTCTTTTCCTATGGTCGTCTTGATTTTTGTCTCCATGGCATCTACTCTGATGCAGCAAGGCACCAACAGGCTCCGCTCAATGCTGTTTTTCATCGGAATAGAATAAGAAAAAGTGAAAAAGAAATGGCAAGGAGTTGAGAGTTCAAAACCAACAAAAAAACTTCAAAGTTAAAACTGCTATCTACTGCTCTTCTTTACTGCTACTACCTGGTGGAATCTTACTGGGGGATCAAGTTTTAATATTTAGGTCACCGGATGGGTACTAAAGAAATAAGCCTAGACTGCAGTTTATGGATTAAATAAACATTTTATATATTATATAATGATTAACATAGCTGATTTTGGGATTAAAATTTTGGATGTGTTCATAATCCCTCTAGAACTAAGCTCAAAGTAAAGCATTTAACACTCTTAAAAAAATTTTCATATTCATTAAAATGGATTTCTAAAAGGTCGGCTTTCAGATTTCCAGAATTCATATGGTAATCTAGGACCTCAAAACAACGTTTTAAAAAGAATACACTGGCTACAAACTTAATCAAATTACAGTAGTAATAAAATATTCACAAGAAAATACATTTAATTGCACAGAGTGAAGCCGGAGCTGAGTTCACGACATCGCGGATCCACTGGTGAGACATCCGCAGCAATTTCCCGCATACACGGGAACAAAGATGGGATTCGATCCCAGTAGCCCCAAAGAGGTTCGTGCTAGAGATTGTCGCTAGGAAGTCTACTTACAGATATTTTCTATTATGAAACTATTTATAATTTTTATTTCTTATTTTGGGGACCAAGCTTTATTTTGGTGTATTTTAGAGATTGAATTCTCTGATTTTTATCTAAAGAATGTTGTATTCTCTTCCTTTTGTAAGTGGCATGTCTGTAGCTTGTTCGAGAACAGATGATGGAACTTCCTCGTCGTTTCTCTGTTCGACCCACTGTTTTCCAGAAGGACGGTCGTCAAATAACCCATATCCCCTTCCAAACATCATCAATCTCACATATTATCATTCTCTATCCCCTTCCAAACATCATCAATCTCACATATTATCATTCTCTTGCTAATCCACAACTACCTCCCCACTAGATCTGTTTCCTAAAACACTTCTAAGAGCCCTAGAACAGTGTCATTTGATATCAAAACCAGGCAAACCCTAAAATTTTAATGATTTATCTTCCACAATATGAAAAAAAAAAGTCACATAACATACATAACAGCTCAACTAAAAAATACCCTCACATCCTACACCTAACCCTAACCCTAACCCTTAAACACCATTTCATTTGCAATCAAAACATTAATGGGAAGAATGAGACATCATACCTTCAAAAAGAAACCCTCAAAGAGGTGTTTAAAGGCCTGTTATGGAGGACATGCATCAAGAAATCTTTCAACTAGATCAAATATTTGTTGTCATTAAGATGAGATAACCCAAAGAGGTAGCCCATAACGACAAAAAGTGACTCGTTAGATCGAGGGAATAAAAATCCTTTAGCAAGAAAGTTTCTGAGGAGAAGCCTGGATTTTGAAATGAAGACTAACTTGTTGGATTTTTGACAAATGTTTGGATCCTGAGGAATAACATTGTCATTGTTGGGTCCAAAGCCCTAGAAGCGAAAAGTTGAGAATTGTGATAGGTAGTAGATAGTTAGCGTAAAATTTTTATAAGAAAAATTATGACATGAATCTTTTAAATCATTGTATAAATGCTAGGGCGTCCCCTGAAAATGACATATTCTATGGCCTAAATATAGTAAAAAAATGTGTAAGTGTCACTACAACGTCGTCCGGGTGTAGTGTTAAATAAGTAAGGATTCTTACATTATGAACGGATGCGAGCAAATAAGTTAGTCCATGAAACTAATATTATGATTAGGTCTTGAAATATAGATACTCTCACAGGTAAATTAATAGAATTGGTAGATATTATAGCTCATAGGAAGATAAATATCTTATGCATTTAAGAAACTAAGTCGAGGGGTGAAATGTTAGAGGTTTTTTTTTTGCCTCCTCCCCTAGAAAAAAAAGATAAGAAGATTGATAGTTTAAGCTTTCAACTTTGGTATTAAAGTAGGAGTCATATTAGAAATGGTGTAAATGTAATTATAGATAAGAACTTAAAAAATAATGTTGTAAAAATTAATATAATCGGAGAAATAATTATAGTCCTAAAAATTATTGTTGATACTAAAATTCTTAATGTTATAAGAATTTATGCTCCTCAAGTAGATTTAGACATATGTTCAAAAGAAAAATTTTGGAATGATGGCCTATAAAAATTAATATAAATGATACCTCTTGAAACAATTTTTTTTAATGGAGGAGATTTAAATGGACGTGATGGTATAGTAGAAAGCATTATAAATAGTAATTATGACTACGGTTTTCGAGTGATAAATGAAGAAATGTATAATCATATTGGATTTTATTTTAGCTTATCAAATTGTTATTGCTAATAATTTATTTAAGAAAATAGATGAGCATATTATTACTTATAAGAATAAATCTAATAAAACACAAATTGATTATTTTCTTATGAGAAAAAATATCGCCGAGAATGTAAATATTGTAGAATCATTCCAAATAAAAAATTGAAGTACTCAATATAAATTATTAGTATTAGATTTTAAGATGAAGAGTTGAAAGATAAAAAATACAATGAAACATTGTCATAGAATTAGATGAGTGTACTTAAAAGACACATAAAATAACAGTAAAACACCGTCGTAGTCAGCGCCACCTACTGTCGTCGCCTGGCACTGAATGTTGCCATCAAAGCAGCTGGTCGTTAGTGTCAATTGTTGGCCACCACTCTCAGTGTCAATCATTGTCTGATGCCGCCACCGCCCGCCGCCCGCCAATAATATCTTATATGTTTTGAAGTACATTATTTCAATCTATTTCAAACAAAACAAAAAATAAAATAAAATCTTAAATTTTTTTACAGTGAACCAAACAACTCTAAAGCATTTCAAATGCATTATTTTTGCATTACATTCATTTTACATTGCATTACCTTTTCAGCAAACCAAACAGCCCCTTAATCTTCAAATTTCAAATTACAATAATCAATTTCACGTATCATTAAATTGTATATCATACACACATAATTTCACAATTCTAAGACCATTTATTCACTAAAATTTTCCCTCATAAATTACAATTTCCATTTATTCCAAAGAAGCCATCTACAAATAGCATGGGCCAAACTACATCACTTTTATGATCTTATAGCCATTAAATAATAATAATAATAATAATTAGACTACATATTAAACTTTGGTGTAATCTTACTGTTTAGAAACTCTGCGATCACTCTAGAGCTACTTCATCTGCTAACTAGTACTAAATCATGCATATTTTAATAGCATAAGTATACATTAACAGATCTTTCTTCTTAAAGCTTACCAAATCAATTATCAAAGTACTTCATCATATGGATTTCAAAGACCAATAAAAAATGAAGATCCTTCGGCTGCTTTCATACTTTTCTATTACTTGTATTAGCACAAAAAATACCACTACAATAGATCTTCTTGCAATAAAACAATTGATTCAACACAAATAGTTTATCTAAGTATGTTTTGTTGCCCGCTTCTAGGATGTTCTTGAAGGATTAATTAAACTAGATTTCCCCTATAATTTATGTAATCCAAAATAGCTCACTTATTTTAAATATTATTATCAAAATACTACTCATCCAAACATTTGGCATCACCGTGCAGTGAAAAATTTTATTAAAGAGAGATTTGCCATCCAAACCCATGACAACACTAATATGTATGAGAAAATAAGTCCCAAACATAGCAAGATCAACTCAATTATCAACAAGAGGAGCACTAACAGGCTCCACACAGACATTTATATGGATCGCAATGATTCTGCTACTCCATAACTGTGAACATTGCCACCCATAATACCACATCAATGCTCCCAGTCACCATTGACGGTCCCAATCACTATGGTTTAATAAGCATACTTTTTGAATATTAACTTTTCTGCTGGAATGATCTCTCTGAACATTAGAAAATCAATAAACAAAAAACAACGCACAATAACACCCATGATAAGCAAAAAGGTCTTATTATTATCAAATCAACTCATTATCAACAAGTAAATACTCTACCAAATGGAGTTTAATGAATGTTACATGACTTAAGAAATTCTAATTTCATCATAGTTAAACCATAATATGTAAGCTGCATTCTATATTAAAGTGCATGGCGAACAGAACACCCAATGTTTATGGAAAAAGAAAAAAAAGAGTAGAACCTTCACAAAAACTTGGGTAGCCCGTGCCAGAGCATTGATAGCAAGTTCCATGCTTCCACTAGCTTCCATGCATAACACATAGCGGATCCAGTATTCAGGATAGTTGGCACAAGCAATCAAACATCTTTCATATAACTTGACAACCTGAAACAAAATGAAAAACATTATATAAAGAGAAGTTTAAAAACACAGAAAATAACTAACAATTAAACTGAAAGTTAGAAGAATTTTTCATGGTTCAACTGAGGTTTGCACAAGCAGTACTCTGTCCGCCGATCAGAGAAGCCCCTCAATATGAAAAGGAGGGACCCTCCTTTCCAAATGATAAGATGGTTAAGTGGTTGAGCAATTATCAAACACCTGCATGTATGAGATTTGAATTTCAAAAAATGGATATTTTACTGTGTAACACCCAGAATGTCCAGTGACTAATGAGGGTTAAAATACTTAGCCTCACAGAAACCACATAGTATGTCGATGTGCTTTATCCTCAGTTCAATATCCCACTATAATAGGTAGCTTCATCGAACACACTAACCACTAAACCAATATAATAAGCCACTGTAGTTCAAAGGTTTAAAGCCTTTCCAAGAAAGCTGCAAAGATTTTGATCCACAAAGTGAATATATATTAAAGCAACTGATAAATGTACCTTGTTAAAATCATCTCCCCTCTCAGTAAAATCCAGATAGTTGTGCCAGTTCTCAAGCTCTGGATCGTCAAGAGGTCTGACATGGAAGTATGGCCTTCTAATAGCTGTTTCAAAACCAATGATCTTAGAATCGAACTCCTTAGCTTTACTATACATTTCTTCCCTAATTGCAAGATATTTCTCCAACTCCTCCACTTCCGTTAAGCTTGCACTTATGGCTTTAGAAGATTGCTCAACACCATCAGGACAAACCTCACCCTCAACACCATGACCATCAAATTCCACGGAAGAAGACAATAAGGCAGCTTCTTCAGCAGTCCGTATTTCAGATAAAGGTCGACTGGCAGCCAAGTGCTTAAAACTGAAAAGTAATAACATAACAAAACTAAATAAGCAGCAAACTTTAAAAAAAAATACACAAATTATTTATGTATATCAAAACTAGTACAATGATACAGAGAGAATGTAAAATGAATGTAGCCGATCGCATTGTTTGAGTGTAACAGAAAAGAAGCATCATAAAGCACATTGAATCAACTACGATTTAATCATGCACATGCTGGAATGCATCAATTGAGAATTGCAGGGCATTACTAGCAAACAATCCAAAAGAGCATTCCCATGAAGGAATAAAATAATTCAAAATAAGAGAATATATATGCATTGTATCACATGATCAGCTTGAAGGTAGACTAGGAAGGAAAAAAGGGATAAGCACATAGACGGAATGTCTACTACCAGTTGAAATAGCGATCCAGTTGCTGTAATGGATTCTCAAGAATTCTGGTATAAATCATGGCTACATTGCTCCACGCTTGTTGTGATTCTTCATATCTAATATACTCATCCCACAGTGGGTACGAAAGATAGTCAGTTCCAACATAAGCCAATCCCCTTTCAAACAACCTGGAATAACATGAACAGAATAACAAAAAGTTCAAATTATTCAAGTCTCGTGACAGGCACAAACATATAAATAAAACATGAAGCACTCAAAATGGGAGCATGAAAATACAAATGTAACAGTACAACATATGACCAATCTTAAGTTACACACGAACACACTGCATTTACCTTCCTGAAATGCCATACCATGTTCTTCTAACCGAGGAGAGAATGAGGTAAAATATGACCCCTCATAAAGCAAGACCTCTCTAGCAGCATTTTGGATATTGGTTCACCCATGGTAGCATCAAGAGTATCATACTAAACGTAATCGTGTACTACCAGATTACTAATAAGACCTTCTCAACGAGAGAAAAAGAGGCAATAAAGCCACATTATGCTGATAAATACTTGTCAAAAAAATGAAATGTATTGAGCAGATCGAAACCAAGAGTTTAGAACATTAAGGTTTACAAGGTGCAATCCCAACAAACCTTTCTTCCAAACATGTTTGTATGGCTGCCTCACGAATATCAAAACTATGTTAGAAGAACAAGAATGCACAGGAAACCATCGTAGAAAGAGCAAAAAAATCATAGCTTATCATCAAAAATTTTATACACTTTTAAAAATACCTTCGAATGATGTCTGGATCCTCATAAGTTGATATTGCAAAAAGACAATAGTGCAACCAAATATCCACAGAGTAGGTGACAGCCAAAATGGCTCGCTCATATACCTCCAAAACCTTGTTAGCACTGTCTAGACGAGCCTCGTGGTCAGCATACTTCTTCCAGTAGCCAAAACACAAGGGAAACTCGACCAAGAAAGCGTCATAAACTTTGCGAATCTTTAAGATGTTAGTCTGGAAAAGAAAAAAATACTTCATATCAGACTCATAACTTTTTTTAAATATGAGAGCAAACAATGCTATTTCTATAGCAAAGTTAAAACGACAAGCTCCCAACTACCAAATATCAACCCACCCACCATCCCATCCCATCCCATCCCATCCCCGCCCAACTTTTGAACATCACACAGTCGAAAACTAATATCAACAACAACTCAAAAGCTATACTTCATAGAAACTCCAGTTTATTTAGAAATAAATACTACAAATTATTGCAGCACAAAACCAGATTTTCTTGTCCCCTTTGTAAATTAGAAGAAATATAAAAGTTATCACTCTAATGACTTTACTACCAATTATTAAGTAACTAGATCCCTCTAAATTCCCTCCTATGAGTGAATTTTTTTGTTGAAACAATAAATAAAATAATAATAACAAAAAATTATAAGCATCCAATACAACATAATCTCAATGGCATATGACTTTAGCGTTCAAAAAACCAAGTTCGCCGGATCTAACATAGACTGCAGACAAAAATATGGGGGTTAAGAAAAAAGTTTTTCAATGCTTGCAATGAATATCCATGTTGACAATCTTAGAAACAAGCAATTTTCACAAAAAGAGAGTGAGAAAAAAATATCATTTAATTTAACGTGCCATACATTAAAGTTACGAGGGAGAGTAATTGAATATAGGTTACAACATTATATAAAAATTTCTCAATATCAGTTTGAATTCATGCCAGGCAAGTCTATCACGGAAACCATATATTTAGTGAGAAAAAAATATCCTTTAATTTAATGTGCCATACATTAAAGTTACGGGGGAGAGTAATTGAATATAGGTTACAACATTATATAAAATTTCTCAATATCAGTTTGGATTCATGCCAGGCAAGTCTATCACCGAAACCATATATTTATTGAGATTTAATGGAGAAGTACAGAGAGAGCAGAGAGAGTAGAGAGGATCAACATATGAATTTTGTTGAATTAGAAAATTCTTATGATAATGTTACAAGAGGAATATCTTGGAGAGTTCTTAAAAAAATGTATTGATATTGCTTATATTCAAGTCATTAAAGATATGTGTTAGGTGTTATAGCTCGAACATAAGGAGAATTAATATTGCTTATATTATAGGTGTTATAGCTCGAACATAAGGAGAATTGACCAAGTACTTTTATTATTTTAGTTGGATTACATCAAGGATCGACTTTAAGCTCATATCTTTTTTACTTTAGTTATGGATGTTCTTACTGGACATGTACAAGAGGATGTATCTTGGTGTATAATTTTTGTTGATGATATCCTTTTTGTGGATCCGACTAGAGAGAGTTCAGAAAAAAAATTAGGATTATGAAGGTCAACTTTAGAGTAAAAGCTTTTATTTGAGTATATCTAAAATTTAATACGTGGAATGTAATGTTAGTAGCAGTAGATCTAGTGGAGATGTTATAATTATAGGTGATCAAGTCACTAAAAGGAGTGAGCATATTAAAAATCTCAGGTCTATTGTTCGAAGTGAAAGTGGTATAGATGGGGAATTATCAGTAGAACTCAAGTTGGATGGTTGAAGTGGAGGAATGCATCGGGCATATTGTGTGATAGAAAAGTACTGCTTAGATTTAAAAGAAAATTTTATAAGATGGTGATGACATATGCAATGCTTTATGGCACAAAATGTTGGCCTATAAAAAAGAAGCATAAAATTAAGTTAAGTCTCCTTAAGACGAGAATGCTCATGTGGATGAGTGGCTTTACATTTAAGAGACAAAATGTGAAACAAATACATCCATGAAAGAGTTAAAGTAGCTTCAGTGGCAAAAAAAATTATAGAGAATTGTCTCAAATGGTTTGGTCACATTAAACGCGACCATTTAATGACCCAATTAGGAGAATAGATGTTTCAAATTTGACATATGTTAAGAAAGGTAGAGGTAGACATAAATTTAGCATATTGTATAAAAAGTTATCTTAATTTTATTAGAAATAAATTAAAATATGACACTCAATAGGACATAATGAAGAAAAAGGATTCCCGTAGCCGACCCCACTTAGTGAGATAAAGATGGTGGTAGTTGTTGTTGTATGTAAAATAAGACTACACTTTTTAAAAAAAAATGAAGCAGTGTAATGCCTCTAGGCTTTGTTAATTGCATTATGCAGATTGTTGGAGAAGAGTAAGTTAATATGATAGTGCATCATGTTAATATATATTTAATCCTATTTCTTGAAGAAAGTTAATTTGTGTTAAAATTTGAAGGTCACAATTGTTTTATTCACATTTAGTTGATCTTGTAAAACCTGAAGATTTTTTTTAAACTACATATTTTATAAAAAAGGTCATTGAGAGAAATCTTTAAATAAAATTTTAAAAAATTTTAAGCTTGATGCGTGCTAGAAAATTTGAGGAAGTAGAACAATAAATTATCGTCTTAGCGTTGTACGAGAATTTCACCTACACTCAGTAAAAGAAAATAACCAATAATGACACAAGAAGTTTTTTGCGTGGAAAAACACATCAAGGGAAAAAAACCACGGGGTCTGACCCAGTTGTAAGAATCCACTATAGATTGATGATTACAGAAACTCTTTTATTTCACAGACGGGAAAGAGATACTACAATTTCTAACATTGACTGATGGCTTCCGGTCAGTGGTGGTCGACGGTGATTAGTAGCGATCAATGATGATCAGCGGCGGTTGACGACAGTCAGTGGTGGTTGAAGGCAACAATAATGCTCGATGACAATTGGTGATTATAGACGACAGTAGATAGTCGTCGACGGCGATCGGCGAGCGGTCCCACGGCGGGCGGGGGTCGTCGACAGCGATTGGGAGGTGTCGAAAATAATTGGTGAATGTCGACGATGGTCGACGGCGGTCAGCAGTGGTCGACGACTGTTGATAGCGATCGACGATAACAGGGAGGGTGTTGGACTCCAGCTACTTCTCAATGTTTCAAGTTCTCTCTCAAGCTTCAAATCTCCCCTCATGAGTGGGGTGGGATACTATTTATAGTATTCTATGTGCAATTAATGCAAGACACGGGGTCTGACTCAGTTGTAAGAATTCACTATAGATTGATGATCACAGAAACTCTTTTGTTTCACGGACGGGAAAGAG